GACTCGCTTGAGCCCAGGAGTTGGAGGTTGCTGTGAGGGTGATGCCATGGCACTCTACCCAGGGGGATAGCTTGAGGCTCCGTCTCAAAAAAAAAAAAAGAGAGAAGTCCAGCCTGAGAATTCCTTGTATAAGGATCAAGCAACACCCTCCCCCCTATTTACGGCCTACTTGGGAGCAGACGTTTGCACACAAACTCCTGTATGCCCCAAGTTTCTCTATGCTTTGCTTAAAGATTCCTCCATTTGGAGGCAGACATTCAAATCGTCTCTTTCCCCTGTAGCCTCAGGCTTCATCAGATAAGAACAAAGAAAGTAATAACTGACAACACGTTCTTCACTAGGTTATGTCAAACCAGGTTATACTGAAAGGATTATGCTTAAAGGTGTATGCTGGGTGGATTATCAGATTACCAGGGAGGAGCTACTTATAGGGCGGGTGGTCATAAGATGTTTAAACGGATCAGTGTCATTGCTGCATTGTAATCAGGTACAACATTCCCTATATAAGCCAACTGCAAATAAAGAAGCTCACCATTTTGCCTGAGCGAGCAGATGGTCACCTTTATTTAAAATACAATTTCAATAAGCGTGCTTATTCTTCGTGACATCGGTTTTCCGTGAGACCCTTACGGCAACATTCATTGTTTTCATTTGTTAGGGAAAGTCCAGTTACTTGAGACCTTCACCTAGAAGTGTGCCAGATACCCCTAATTGTGCCTGTTAGGTGACAGTTTATCAAACCCCCTCCTTATTCTTGAATTCAACTGTGTTTTGCTCTCCTGTGGACATACTGTTGTCCGTCTACTAGTTTTGTATTAGTATTTAGTACATTAAACAATGTACTTTATTCATTTAAAAAAGAAATGAGAAAGTAAAAGGCATTAAAAATTTCAAAAAGTTAAGTATCTGGAAATGTTAATGCAGGGCACAGGCTTCACTTGCTGATGCACAGGTTAGATAATTATGTCCCACCCACTCTCCTACTCCTCCTAGAGGACACATCAAATATACAGAGAGAGCCTGGGTTTGTTTTCAAAACCCCTCAAGCTCGTCAAGAAAAAAGCAAAACAAAACAGTTCATTTAAAAGTTAATACAATGATATTCTTTTCATTAGGCCATGAGCCAGAAGTTTTCGTATTTTCCCTATAGGATCTAGATATAAAAGAATATACTCTGTTCTGAAAAACTGTACTTCAGATTATCTGCAAAGCCTATAACACAGAAATTAAAATTTTGTTTTCTCTAAATAAGCAGTACTGAGTTACTATTTTTCCTCGCTGATATCTCAAAGTTCTATGAAAACAGTTTAATATATTACTTACTTCAGGTCCTGTAGAAGGTCTTTTGCATTAAGCATGGTTATTAAAGAGGTGGTAGCTGCAGGAATTATGATAATAGGTGTTCGTGATCCTATAAAGACAAAATTTTACAGGTAGCAAATATATTATTATTAAAAGAAACTACCCTTGCTCTCCCTATTAAAAGTTGAAAGTTTATCAATAGTAACTCTGAATTCTTTAGAGCTAAAAAGTATTTTAAGCTGCAGTGATATAATATTAAAAATACTTAATTAGCAGTGGTATCCCTTAAGCACTGACTAATGAGGAACAGACACCACACACACATTTCATATAGCTGTAAAAACATAATAATCGCCCTAGCTTTTGCATTCCAGTTTATCCACATTTACTTCATAAAGGAAGTTTAAAATCATCTCACCTTTCTTCTGATTTGGGGGAGGTCTTGCTTGAGAAACTGTAAAGGGGAGGAAAATCACAATTGCATATTATAAAAATCATATTATCAAACTTACCAATAAGGACAAAAATTATTTGTGTCACATGACTAGTTTATAAAAAGGAAAAACATAACCTGAACCATCTCAATGTTATAATCCCTCTGCTTCACAAAAATATTAAAATGCATGATTATTCAACAACCTGCAGCCACAAAGAAAGTGGATATATAGTATTTTCCCCCAATCTTCAGTTAATTTCTGCAATTTGAGTTATCTACAGCATGAAATATTGGCAAAAAACATAGCACAATGAAAATACTATGTGGAAAATTCCAGAAACAATTCATTAGATTTAAACTGCATGCCTTTCTGAATAGCATGATGAAATCTCACACAAGGATGTGAATCTTCCCCTTGTCCAGCTTAGTGCAGCACTATATGCCACCAGTCCTTAAATAGCTTAGTAGATATCTTGGTTAATCAGATCCATTGTTCGATATTCTTCAGCATCTGTGTTCAAGCAGCTTTTATTTTACTTAAGAATGGCCCCAAAGTGCAAGTGTAATGATGATGGCAATTTGGATATGCCACCGCCAAAGACAAGCCATAAAAATGCTTCCTTTGAGTGAAAAGGTGAAAGTTCTCCACAATAAAAACAATCATATGCTGAGTTTATTAAGATCTAAGACAGGTGTCCTCAAACTACGGCCCGTGGGCCACATGGAGTCCATCTAGGACATTTATCCGGCCTGCTGGGTGTTTCTGCCGCTGCTGCCTGTACTGCTTAGCAGCCGACTTGTCCCGAGGCCTGTAGTCCGGCCCTCCAACGGTCTGAGGGACAGTGAACTGGCCTCCTGTTTAAAAAGTTTGAGGACCCCTAATAAGATAACACTGAATTTTCTATCCATGAAATTGTGCAGAAAAAAAAAATTCATGCTAGTTTTGCATGGCACCTCAAACTGCAAAAGTTATGGCCACAATGTGCTAAGTACTTAGCTGAGATACAAAAGACACTACATTTGTAAGTGAAAGATTGTGTTATGATTGACCAAAGTCACATTTGGTACTATCCCTAGTTTCAGGTATCCACTAAATCTTGGAATCTATCCCCTATAGATAAAGGCAGACTACTCTATTACATTGCCAGATACTAGAAATCTATGTTAATGGACATCAACGTCTAACTAGAAAATAAAATAAATAATTTCATAACAAACCAATTACTAATGTAATAAAGATAAATCCAGATAACACAGTGAGGGGGGAAATGCATTTAACCATTCTGAAGGAAAGAGAAAGGAGTTAGTAGAACATAAAACCCAGAAAAAATATTTATTTCCTTCTCTTTTAAAAATTGTTTTCTGGTATTTTCCTGGGAAAGAAAGAGTACGTTAAAGATAATGAGTCGGGCGGCACCTGTGGCTCAAAGGAGTAGGGCACTGGCCCCATATGCCAGAGGTAGCATGTTCAAACTCAGCCCCGGCCAAAAAATTGCAAAAAAATAAAAATAAAATCTAAAATAAATAAATTAAAAAAAAAATAAAAATAAAGATAATGAGTCAAGTACATATCATCTGGAAATAACTATATCATTGATTGTGATCATGTTATAAAAAAACAAATACTGGGTCAGGTGCAGTGGCTCACACCTATCTATAACCTTAGCACTTTGGGAAGCCAATGCAGGATTACTTGAAGCCAGGAATTTCAGAACAGCCAGAGCAACACAGCAAGACCCTGTCCTCAAAAAAAAAAACTTAAAAATTAACCGTATGTGGTGGAATGTGTCAGTTGTCCCAGTTACTCAGGAGACTGAGGCCAGAAGATCACTTGAGCCCTGAAGTTTATGACGGCAGTGAGCTACGATGACATCACTGCACTCTAACCTGGGCAACAAAGTGAGATTATTTTTAAAAAAACCACAAATATTTGTATCTTATTATTTATATATACAATGAAATATTTGTTGGTATGATAGTAATTAAAGATCAATACATTTTATATTTCATAAAGTATAACAAGTGCTTCATATTTAATTGTCAGGAATTATCCATACAGTAAAATTTTATCAATGACCTTAGACGTGCCACATGCTAGCTGGAGTTTGGGGTTTTTAAATTAAAAAAGTAAATAAAAATTTAGAGACTTAAAATCCTAATTCAGTATCAATTCTCAAAAACAAATACCACCTTTAAAGAGACTCACACAGTACAAACATTTTTAAAATACTTCCATTTAAAAGGCAGCAAAACACTACACTTTAACTAGTTCTCTGTAATCCTCTATGAGCTACTTACTGCATTATGATAAAATACTACAGTATTTAGTACTATGATCTTTCCAGCCACATAAAGCAGAAAACTACATACACAAACCTAAGCCCCAAAACATATATATGTGTTACAGTTCTTTCATCTTCCTTCTTGCTGTGAAAAAAATTACTAAAACTTTCTCAAATCATTTTGAAAATGATAGCTGGGCTCACGCCTATAATCCCAGCACCCTGGGAAGCCGAGGCAGGTGGATTGCCTGAGCTCACAGATTTAAGACTAGCGTGATATAGAGCAAGACCCCGCCTCTAAAAATAGCTGGGCATTGTGGCAGGCACCTGTAGTTCCAGGTACTCGGGAGGCTGAGGCAAGACAGTTGCTTGAGCCTAGGATTTTGAGGTTGCTGTGAGCTATGATGCCATAGTGCTCTACCAAGGGAAACAAAGTGAGACTGTCTCTAAAAAAAAAAGGAAAGAAGAAGAGAAAGAGGGCTCATGGATAAATGTGATTAGCTAGATAGTGCCGTCTATATACAGTCTCAGTATGTATTTGTTATTTGTTGGATAAAGAGATGGCAAAATAGATAGATTAATGGGATAAACAGAAGACAGGAGGAGCTGCTCTGAAAATAACTGAAGGAAACGACAGAAAGAAGGGGAAGAGGAAGGAAACAAATTTGCAACTCAAATAACCACTGATTTGGGAAGGAAAGCCACAAATGGGATCAGGAAGTTATGGAAACACTAGACACTTCAAGGCTGAAGACCCAATATAAGAGAAAGGCAAAACATATAATACTATAATAAAGGCTCATAAATATTAAAAATAAAGTTTATAGGTTTACAAATAACTATGAAAGACTATAAACAGATTCCCTATTATGTAAGACACTGTGGCAAACCTGCTAATGACAAGCTTGATTTTTAAACAGGGTGAAGGTTAGCGAGTTTGGATGACATAGTGATCAATAGCAAGGGTCTGTACTCAGATGATATTTACTTCATATCCCTATTTTGCTACTTTCTAAGCACACTGATTAGCTTTGCTGGGCCTCAGTTTCCTCAACTCTAATAGAGAATAGTTTCAGTATCTTAATATTGTTATGAGAATTTTTAAAGCAAGAATACCAATTAAGTCTTGGCCCATATTTACCATATACTGAACCCTAACTGCTACTGCTTCTATTACCACTACCAGCACTGATGCAAATGCACTAACTGCCAATTTGCAAGCTAAGAATAAACCATAAGAAATAACATTATTGTTGCTTTGCTTGACTTCAAATATAATTATAAAGAAATATTTATTCAGAGCCCATATATAAGGCACTCTGCTAAGTTATTAATAGATGGGAACACAGAAGTAATCCCTGTTCTCAAAGGGCTTTTAGTAGAGGAGGGGAGTCAGACCATAAACAAAAACACAAACAAATGTATGTAATAAAAGTTATTAAGAAGCAAAAATGAATATACACTGGCAGGAATGTCCTTTAGATAGCATGCTTAGAAAAAGCCTCTCAAAGAAAGTGGCATTTGGCTCGGCGCCTATAGCTCAACCAGCTAAGGCGCCAGCCACGTACACCTAAGGTGGCGGGTTCGAATCCCCAGCCCGGACCCGCCAAACAACAATGACGGCTGCAACCAAAAAATAGCCGGGCGCTGTGGCGGGCGCCTGTGGTCCCAGCTACTTGGGAGGCGGAGGCAGGAGACTCGCTTGAGCCCAGGAGTTGGAGGTTGCTGTGAGCTGTAATGCCATGGCACTCTACCCAGGGGGACAGCTTGAGGCTCTGTCTCAAAAAAAAAAAAAAAGTGGCATTTATGATGAAATTTGAAGGATGAAAAGCAACCAACTTGTGAAGGACAACAGGGTGAACAAAAAGTCCAGTTAAGAGGTAGGAATATGGCAAATGCCTAAGGCAGGAAGAAACTACTACTCTTGTAAATTTCTTATGGGATCTTTACATTGACAATCCATAACCTCTCATCCCTCCTTTCCAAAGAAAACAAACAATTCTGCATCTGTGATTCAACTGCCTCCACAACATTCCTATACATCTGAGGTAGAATATCTGTGAATACCTATTTCTTTCACTTTTTTCTTCCTTCCTTTCAATGGTTCCTTTAGCTTCTCCTAGTTTCTGGCAAAGAATCTAGCACATGCAAGGCATTCAAATAATATTTGTTGAATTTAACTGTTCTTCCTTACAATCTTATGATGCCTTCTAATATAGAAATCTACTAATAAAGTTAAAATCTAATCTGCACAATATGTACTCCTCTGCTCCTACTCAAATACAGAAATGACACAAGATTTCAAACAAACCCATTCTTAAAAAGAAATACTAACCATGTCTAAGAGGGATCTGTATGTCTGGATCTAGGCCATAGTGAAATTGCCTACAAAATCCTTCTAATATATGCCCCACACATTCTTAATATGGTACTTTTGAAGTGCTTAAAGAAATATTTAGTATTTGTAAACTACATAATTTTAGAATTAGCCTGTGCATAAACATATTGTGAATAAAAACAAATCCAAATCTATATTACTGATACCATCAAATTTGTGGAGAAGATCACTCATTTAAATCCTTGCCTGTGCCTTTCCTATTCTTTATTTTCTTTATACTCACTTTCAACAGCACTGATGAGGTTAAAAAAAAAAGAAAGTTGCATTGCATCACTGAAATTGTGCTAAACATAAAAATAAAACAAACACCAGAAGCCAAAATCAAACTTCAAACAGACCTCAAATACCATGCTGGCTGGGATCTACGTGCATTTATAAAGGCCCATCTTTTAGGAACTAGGAAGAGAGAGGAAAATTTTTCTATAATAACTTGATAGTACCACTATTTAACACATTTTTAAAGTGGTACAGGATTGTATGTACACAATAGCAGAGATATATGGAATCTGTAAGCATCAAAGGAGCATATCAGTCTATTAAAAGTATAATGCTGTGCTTCTGCAGGAAAAAAGAGTATCAAATCTGCACATATTTTCATGGAACTAGGACAGGGAATTGGTGAGAAAATGAATACACATAAACAGCCCTTTAAACCATTCCTACAAATCTTAAAGTAATAATATTTTCTTAAAAATTTTCTTTCACCCTTTAACTAAACTACACTTATTTATTCAAGTAAATGTTTTTATGACACACTTTAATTACTCAAAAACAAAGAGTTTTATAATCTACTTTATCCCTGAATCCAATTAGGGAAATTATTATTAATAGTAAAGACTATTACAAAATCTGGTTGACAGGAAAATAAATAACTCAACATGATTTTCATTTTAACTTTATTTTTTCTGCTATAAAGTTTTATTAAGGACGCTGACTGAAGTTTAACAAGTATTTTAATGTACATTCTTATAGTTTTGAAATCTAATGCTTCACCAATACTGACAGTCTGAAGAAAGATAACCCTTCGATGTATTTTATAAAAAATTTCAATTTCTTCAAAGTATTATACATATTCAAAAAGTGTACTGTTATAATCATTAAAAAAAAAACAAAAAACAGGTTTTATATTTTTACCTGGTCTTGGTACAGGCTGGGCTGCAGGGGTCTGAGTCTTACGAGCAGACGCACCCTCCTTTAAAAGAATTAGAATTGATATGTGACATCAAAGTTCCTTTACGTAACAGTTAAACACTATAATTACTGCAAAAAAAAAAACCCTCTTATTCTCACTCTCTGCTTTTCTCACTCAATTAGTCTGTTCAATGTGCTATGACCATTAAGTTTTAAGAAAAAAAAACCTCTTATCTGTTATGCTATTATCATAAGACAGGAATAGAGATCTTTAGCAGAAAATAAATTTAAACAGTCAGCATATCATAGTTACTGTAAATGCATAATTTTTTAATGATTCACTTAATTACTGACAATTTTAATATTTTCATAAATGTCATTACCTGTTTTACAATAAACTTTTTTCCTTTAAACCAACTTAAAATGAATGATTTATAATCTCTCATTAGAAAAATCTAAACAATGTTACTTTGGAGTGTATCACAAAACACAAACATTTCAAATAATCCAGTGCCTTTAAAATACTCAAGAAAAATCACGTTTATGAATATGAGATTTATTACATTTGAATTGAGTGGATGAGAGTATCTTAAACTACATAACAAATCTCAACTAATTAATGAGCATGTACTATGTACAAGGAAATATTTTAAGTGTTCCAAGTATATCAATTACACATTCAGGAACAAATGCCACTGAAATGCTTAAGATACATAAAATTGTCTGATCATTCACACTAATTTTTCTTAACACATTTTTCTTTACAGAAAGCTACAAATGAAAATTCTGTAACTATGAATTCATAAGATTTTACTGTAGTCGTACTTAAGAGAGGGAAATCTGATGAATATCAGGGAGTTACATGAATCCATAATAACGAAAAATTTGCCACTGTGCCCTTATGTTGGCAGCACTGCTTGAACAACTCGGTAAAGTTTTAGAACATTGGCATATCAGTGTCTCACAGTTGTACAAAGTGTGGGGGTACCTTGCTGAGTGGCATTCATTATTGTTGGTGCACGCTTTTGAGTGCTACTCCAAGAATATCAGAGCTCAAATTATAGCAACAAACAAACATTCGTAAATTTGCTAAACTTGGCAAAAGTGGAAATGAAATAAGGGACATGTCAGTGCAAGTTTATGGGGATAATGCTGTGAAGAAAATGGCAGTGTACAACTGGATTAAACATTTTTGTGAGGGGAAAGAAAGCACACTGATGAAGAGATGTCAGGATAGCCGTAAGGAACAAAACTGATGAAAACATTGCAGAACTTTATTGAATTGTGCATCAAAATTGTTGGCGGATTGTGAGAAGCATAACACACCAAGTAAACATCAATAGAGAAACAGTTTTAAAAAAATTTAATTGGCCAACTGATCTCGGCCAACTCAGACCTCAACAATGCACCAACTCACATGGCACTATCTCTGAGAGAGGTTTTCAGCCAGTAAACAAATAACAGTATTCGAACACCCTCTTTACTCCCTCTGATCTGCCCCCCAATGGCTTTTTTCTTTACCCAAAGATAAAGGCAATTTTTTTTTTTTTTTTGGAGACAGAGTCTCAAAATGTCGCCCTGGGTAGAGTGCTATGGCATCATTGCTCACAGCAACTTCAAACTCTTGGGCTCAAGCGATTCTCTTGCCTCAGCCTCCCAAGTAGCTGGGACTACAGGCGCCCACCACAACACCTGGCTATTTGTTGCTGCTGTTGTTGTTGTTGCAGTTGTCATTGTTGTTTAGCTGGCCCAGGCTGGGTTCAAACTCACCAGCCTTGGTGTATGTGGCTGGCACCCTACCCACTGAGCTATGTGCCCCACCCCAGATAAAGGAAATATTAAAAGAAGGACATTTCTATGACATTTAGGACATCACGAGTAATACAACAATAGCTTTGATGGCCATTCCAGGAAGAGTTTCAAAACTGCTTTGAAGAGTGAACTAGGCACTGGCATCAGTGCATAGCTTCTCAAGGGGAATACTTTGAAGGTGACTGAGTCATATTCGACAGTGAAGTACATACACTTTTTTCTAGGATGAATTCACAAACTTAGTTGTCAGCATCATGATATCATTGAAAGAAACATATCCAAAGAAATGTTTACTAAAAATATTTATTTTAAATAAATATTTTAAAAGAATTACGTTCTCTTTAAAAATTTAATATTTTAAATGTGAAATGATTTAGAAGGGCAGGTCATCCCATTGTATATTTTTTAAATAAATGATATAAAAATTAGTACCAACAGAAAAAAATGCTGTCCCTTCAATACAATAGTACTCCTAGCATTCAGGTAGCATATCACAGAAACCATTCTTTGTTAAAAAACAACAAATAGCTGCAGCAGCAACTAGCAAAAACTCCTTAAAGTTAAAAATAAATAAAAGGCACCTGAGGACAGTAAAATATCCTTTTCTAATAGTCTCACTATTATGCATTTAGTATTTATTGGTACATTTAATCTTAAATCATTTTAGGTGCTCATTTAATGGAGCATTGTATTCTTTGTAGAAATCCATCAAGCTTAAAATATGGTAATCTTTCTCCAAACTACATCAAAGTACAACTTCAATATAAGAAAAGGTGAGTCATAAGTAAGGTGAAGAGCATATCAAATATTTAATACCCTTATAATGTGAGGAAATCTTATGATTACATTTGTTTCTAGGTTCATACTGGGGTGACATGTAATCTCCAGTGCCCAGAGCATAAGTAACGCAACACATGTTGGTTGAACTGAACTACATCTAGACTTTTTAGAAATCAAAAGCCAAGAAATAATTATTAAATAGGAATCTAATATAAAGAAATGTTAGTGAATATAATTTAAAGAAATGTTAGTTTCTTATCCCAAGCTCCTGCATAAAGATAAATCAACAAGACATTATAATAAGATAACAAGAGTGACGTGTAAGTGAACCATATCACTTCTGTATTCTAGTATGTAAACACTGCTTTATGGAGTAAGGTCTAATCACAAACACAAAGGGAAGAAAAAGAAACAGGAAGATCAATCAAATACATATGCAGGCATCTGTCCATATTTGAGTATTAGTCTGGCTGGATTCAATTCAAAGCCCCTCTTCTTTGGTAATAGAGTGGACCTAGCTCAAAATTACCAGAATACAGCCTTATGTGCATATAAAGAGAATTACATGAACCAAAAGTGATACACTTGACTACTAAAAATATATCTATAATGAACAAAGACTATGGCTTCTGTAACATGGGTCAGGCAAAAGGTGCAACTGTAAGTAATGCAAAACAAACAAACAACAACAAACAAAAAGAAAACAACCTTTTCCATTACAAATCATAACCTTTAGAAATTTTTGTCTACTTTTGAGTAAGTCCAAACTTTGATCCCTTCAAATACTAATAAAGTCAATCAAGTGCCTTTCCCTGGCTCAGATGCCACAAGGCTACAAAGATATAAACCTAGAATTACTGATGATCATGTCCCTTCACTCGTGAAGAAAAGAAGAAGCGAATGAAGCTCAACGCACGAAAAGGTGGAATACAATACTCCTTACGATATCTACTATGTTACCCCAAACCCTTCTTAACTATATGAGCCATTAAAATTCCCCACTTCATCACTCTATACATCCCACATACACCTTTTTTGGTCTCAAGTGATTGAGACAAATTTCTGTCCGTTGTCACAGAAAGCATTTTATCTAATTTTAACTTCTTAGATTTACTGAAAATTTGAGTTGTCAAAGTCACTATAGTATAACTTTCCTTAATTTTTGAGTTTTATAAATACATAAAGAATTATATAGCTATGACACAAGAGTAGACAATTAACTTCTTGGATGAAAAATGGGAAGATCCTTAATTGTACCATTCGTTTATTGCCTTTTCTAGGACTCTCTAGCCAACACTACCCAAGATGTGTTACAGCATCTTTTACTCTGATTTCCATTATTGTGAAATAAAGTTATAGACGACACTGCATAAGGGACCACAGAAACCAGATACCACAATCCCATCACCCTCCATTCTAAAGATTAAGAAATAAAAGTAAAATACTTTTTCAAAGGCTACAAAAGGCTACACAGCAATATATCTGGCATATATTGAGAAATAGAAATAATAGCTTGGCAGTAATATAGAATAATCTGACAGTTATATATTTAAGATATCAGGATTGGGGAAAATAATACTACCCAGCCCAGAAAAGAAAAGTATCAGCAAAAAGAAAAATCAAAGAGCAGATAATATGTGCTAACTGGAAAGGGAAAGTTGCTTTCTCTTCAAAAGTCAGGAGCATTATAATTTCACCAAGACTTGAAACATTCTGGAAAAGAAATAACTGAATTAAAATGGAAGGGGAAAACAAGTGATAGACTCATGTTTGCGAAGCATAAGAAGACAAAACAAAGTATGCTGTTTACAAGCAATCCTTGCTCGCCTTACTTTAGCAAATGAGATACTCTAAAATCTTCTGCTACTGGGAGACAAAATAGTTTATCTGTTACTTAAACAAGTAGAAAAAAATATATAATACCACAAAAAAATGTAACAAGTGTCAGTATGAAAAAGAATATACTATATTTAGTTAACTTTGAAAAGTCCAATTTAGATGAAACAGTGAAATACTAAAAACTCTTAAAGAAGAAAACATACGGAATATATGTATATGCAGACTCCATGAGTATATAATCTAATTTCCTTTCTGGTATGTTAATAATAGCAAAAGTCATGTTTTAAAAATTATGTAAATATGAACTATACCCTAGCATGTTTTGCCTTCATAAAAAGTAATTTCTATGAAATAAGAATTTAACAGTTAGAACTCACAAATATGAGAATATTTACATAAACATGTGAATTTCTAAGTACACTGAATAGGTCTTTTTTCCTCCCTCAAAAGAGTGTTTTGGAAAACCTAGTAAGCAAAAAAGCAACTTTGGGGACAAATTACAATGAGGCTAAAAAATACAAAAGATCAGAAGTAAAACATTTTAATAGTAACCACAATTTTTTAGACTTGTTATAACCTGGAGGCATATGTACAACAATATTTGCTAACACAGAAAACGGTTAACATACT